GTAAATTATATCACAATATAAAAAAAATTTCTGCTACCAGAATTTTATGCCCTTTTATAGCTATGTAATCTTAAGCAAGGAAAATTTTCATTTTCTCAAAAACTTCAGTTTTTTCCACTGTAAAGTGAAGGGATTGTATTAGGTCACCGTTCTGAACTTTTTACATGTTAACTCAGTCCTCACCATACACTATGAAGCAGAACAATTGTTATGGTTCTTTCATTTTATAGACAAGGAAAATGAAGGAAAGATAAATTAATAATTAAGGAACAGAATTGTACAAGTTAGAAGTGGTGGAGCTGGAAATCAAGGCCAAATAGTTTAATTTACTATATGTAAATTTTATCTCAATTTAAAAAAATTAGTCCCAAAATTGTATGCCCTTTTGTAGCTGTGTAATCTTAAGCAAATTTCCCAATTTTATTTTCCCAAATCTATATTTGGTTGTGAAGGTTGTCCAAAAAATAGGAAAAGTTTCACTGAGGCCAGACGTGGTGGCTCACACCTGTAATCCCAGCACTTTTGGGAGGCTGAGGACGGCAGATCACGTGAGGTCAGGAGTTTCCGATCAGTCTGGCAAATATGGTAAAACCCTGTCTCTACTAAAAATACAAAAATTAGCTGGGCATGGTGGCATGCGCCTGTAATCCTGCTACTTGGGAGGCTGAGGCAGGAGAACTGCTTGAACCTGGGAGGTGGGGGTTGCAGTGAACCAAGATCGTGCCACTGCACTCCAGCCTGGGAGACAGAGACTACCTCTCAAAAAAAAAAAAAAAAAGTTTCATTGATATGAAAGAAACCATACTGGAGAAAGCAAAGGAAATGGAGGAGGCATGGTCATCAAATCACATTTGTCCATCAGTCCTCTTGCCAGTGCCCTCTGTAGACTCAAGGTTTTGGCTGAGTAGCAGAAATTATCACTTTCAAAAACAACAGAAAAGGACACTCTGTTTTAAATAAGCTTCCCTTAAGAAAAATTAAGTAGGCTGGGCACGGTGGCTCATGCCTGTAATCCCAGTACTTTGGGAGGTCAAGGCAGGTGGATCACCTGAGGTTAGGAGTTTGAGACCAGCCTGGCCAACATGGTGAAACCCCATCTCTACTAAAATACAAAAATTAGCTGGGCATGATTGCAGGTGCCTGTAATCTCAGCTACTTGGGAGGCTGAGATGGAAGAATCAATTACTTAAATCTGGGAGACAGTGGTTGCAGTGAGCCGAGATCATGCCACTTGCATTGCAGTTTTTGAGATGGAGTCTCGCTCTGTCGCACAGGCTGGAGTCCAGTGGTGCAGTCTTGGTTCACTGCAGCCTCTGCCTCCTTGGTTCAAGTGATTCTCCTGCCTCAGCCTCCTGAGTAGCTGAGATCACAGGTGTGCATCACCACACCTGGCGAATTTTTGTATTTTTTGTAGAGACAGAATTTCACCGTGTTGGTCAGGCTGGTCTTGATCTCCTGACTTCGTGATCTGCCTGTCTTGGCCTCCCAAAGTGCTGGGATTAACACCACACCTGGACTGTTTTATTTTTGTTTTTAGTGCGATGTGAGTACACTGAAACTCACTTCAAATAATTTAGTGTTAAGAGAGCCAGTTTAAATTAAGCTTCAGTCTCTGTGAGCCAATCCTGGTGGGTTTTCCTACTATATGGATCTGAAGTATTGCTCCCTTAACCCAAATGCACCTCCATACACTGTGTACATGTATACATGTATTTCATATGTTTTCTATTGTTACAATTTATATAGATGTATTATGTTTACCCAGACATTTCCATTCTTTGGCTTTCATCTGCTATGGCATCTATGTGTTACTATTATAGAACATTTGAAACCAGGCGTGGTGGCTCATGCCTATTATCCCAGTACTGTGGGAGGCTGAGGCTGGAGGATTGCTTGAGGTCAGGAGTCTGAAATCAGCCTGGGCAACATAGCAAGACCCTGTCTCTACAAAAAATGGGGGGGGAAAAAAAAGCCAGGCAGGCAGTGCATGCCTGTAGTCATAGCTACTTGGGAGGCTGATGCAGGAAAATCCCTTGAGTTCAGGAGTTGCGGTGAGCTATGATTGCACAACTGCACTCCAGCCAGAGCCTGGGTGACAGAGTGAGACCCTGTCTCTTAAATAAATAAATAAAAACATTTAGAAAATTTAGTCAAACTGCAGAGAATTTTGTTCCTTTCAGTTCAGCTCAAATCTTGAATATTAGTCACATGCAAATGTTTCTCATTATTTCCTGTTTAATACTACACTATAAGTTGTTAAATTTAAGTCCAGCTGCTAATGCCTAATGGGCCAAGAACCATGTAGCTATTTATATAGAATTTTGCAAATTGATCATGGAATTTACAGAGGAATGAAGACCCCTGACTTAGTTGTGTGTGTGTGTGTGTGTGTGTGTGTGTGTGTGTGTGTGGTGGGGGGGGTTGTGTTTTTACTATAATCTTATTCTTGGACAATGGTTGAGATAATGATTCCCACAAGAAAATGTAAGTTATGCAGAGAAAAAACACTTGTATAAAATGCAAAATAAGAGATGAACTTTCAGCCTATAAAATCTACTTTGGAAAAATCAGATCAGAAGTTCCTTCAAGGCATAGGAAGAGCACATTTAACAGAGATTTTAGCCAAGTAGAAATAATGCAGAACCACTGTGAAGAATTTAGTGTGCCTAACCAAATGCAAGCTTTCTGGTCTTTTATTTTGTTTTCTTTTTCTTTTTGAGACAGAGTCTCACTCTCTCGCCGAGGCTGAAGTGCAGTGGCACAATCGTGGCTCACTGCAACCTCTGTGCCCCACTTCAAGTGATTCTCCTGCCTCAGCCTCCCAAGTAGTTGAAATTACAGGTGCCTGCCACCATGCCCAGCTAATTTTTTTTGTATTTTTAGTAAAGATGGGGTTTCGCCGTCTTGGCCAGGCTGGTTTTGAACTCGTGACCTCGTGATCCATCTGCCTTGGCCTCCCAAAGTGCTGGGATTACAGGAGTGAACCACCTCTCCTGGCCTGCATTTATTTTCTAAGGTAGATACTTTTTTTCCCCCACAATTACTAAAAGCCAGGCAAATTACTAGTATTTTACATAATCATAACTTATTAATCCCTCACAAAAATCCTATAAATTTAGTTAGTAATGAAATTAAAATCCCCTGGAGTCAGAAACATCCCATTTGTCAGAAATACAATTTTCAATTTATGGCTGGGCGCGGTGGCTCATGCCTGTAATCCTAGCACTTTGGGAGGCCGAGTGGGTGGATCACCTGAGGTCAGGAGTTCATGACCAGCTCGGGCATCATGGTGAAACTCCATCTTTAAAAAAAAAAAAAAAAAAAAAATTCAATTTATGCCAGCTAAAAGCAGAATAAAATTTTAATTTATGAATTTTTAAGATGAGGAAAGTGATGCTTAGCAATGCTAATTTTAATATGTCCAAGTTTGTTCAGTTACAAGGAATCTGATTCATAATCACTTTTCTCCATTGCCTCCAGATTAAAAAGGTGTTCCCAGCCCTGCAGTTTTTCTTACAAAACTTGCTTCCTTAACCATGTATCCATAAATTTCAATTGCAGCCAGGCAAGGTGGCTCACACCTGTAATCCCAGCACTTTGGGGAGGCTGAGGTGGGCAGATCACCTGAGGTCAGGAGTTTGAAACCAGCCTGACCAACATGTTGAAACCCCATCTCTACTAAAAATTTACAAAAATTTTCCAGGCATGGTGGCAGGTGCCTGTAATCCCAGCTACTTGAAAGGCTTGAACCCAGGAGAATTGCTTGAACCCAGGAGGCAGAGGTTGCTGTGAGCTGAAATCACACCATTGCACTTCAGCCTGGGTGACAGAGTAAGACTCTGTCTCAAAAAACAAAAAACAAAATTCAAGTGCATATAGTATATGTCTTATGCTTTTTCCAAAAGTTGAAATTTGATTTTTGATTATGGATTAGAGTCCTTATGTAAAGGAGTGTTTCTGGATATTTGTCATGAACAGACGATTTTTAATCTCAGTAATAGATGTTGATTAATTTCCTTATTGTCAATAATAACATTATAAACAAATTATTTTCTTTTTTTCTAAACAAAGTATTTTTTCTTTGTAACTCATTTGTTCTTTTTATTCTTCTTGGAAGAAAAAAATATTTTACATAATATTCCTGTTATCAAGCATTTTCCTCATCGTGTAGCTTGTGAAAACTCAGGACATTGCAACAAAGTGACTTCCCAGTTTCTCATACTGAGTCAGCAACAGAAAATCATTATTGTTACTCAAGACATGCTTACTCTACTGGATGAAACAATGAAATATAAGAACATATCCTTTTTAAGAAGCTTAACACTAGAATATTATATGCAAACATGAACAGGCCAGGCGCGGTGGCTCAAGCCTGTAATCCCAGCACTTTGGAAGGCCGAGGCGGGTGGATCACGAGGTCGAGAGATCGAGACCATCCTGGTCAACATGGTGAAACCCCGTCTCTACTAAAAGTGCAAAAAATTAGCTGGGTATGGTGGCACGTGCCTGTAATCCCAGCTACTCAGGAGGCTGAGGCAGGAGAATTGCCTGAGCCCAGGAGGCGGAGGTTGTGGTGAGCTGAGATCGCGCACTCCAGCCTGGGTAACAAGAGCGAAACTCCGTCTCAAAAAAAAAAAAAAAAAAAAAAAAAAAAAAAAGCATGAACAGTAGCTTCTATTTGATAAATGCTAATGAGGAGTACGGAAAATAAAATCTTTGGGAATTTAGAGTAGGGAAGATCTTAATAGGCGGAGGAAACTGACAAGAGTTTTGAAGAGGCAGTGGGATAATCAAGAGAGCTCTGGAAAGGCATTACAGAAAGGGGAGATGAGGGCAGAGGCAGAGTTTCGGTTTGAGTAAATGTGCATGAAATAGAGTGCTCCATTATGCCAAAAGTAGAGGATTTTCGTGGGAGTAGAGTAGGAGATAAGGGCCCTAGATGATTCAACATTTACAACTCTTACACTTTGAACACTAATCTTTCTATCAAATGCCTCTAGGTCGCACTCTACTAAACTCCTTGAAGGGTGGAGACTTTTATCTTATCGACCTTGATACCTTCAGTGCCTGGTACAGAAAAGGGAGTCTGTAAGTATTTGTTGAATGAATGAATTAACGAATCTCAGATAGATTAAGTGAATTTCTCAAGGTCAAACAACTGGTAGGTGATTTGATTATGACTGTAATCAACCATTTGTTTTTACTCTGTTCAGACATGAATGATGAAATGTTAGAGAATCCTTATTTCTTCATTCTCCTTTGCTTTTTGGAAGTTTTCTTGCGTGAATCTTACCTTTCATAGAGTAACCGAACCAATAGGATGTATATATACATAGAGAGACATTTATGAGAAGGAATTGATTCACATGATTATGGCAGCTGAGAAGTCCCAGCATCTGTCAGTTATAGACCAAGGAGAGGGGGTGGTGTAAGGTCCAGGCAGAGTTGCAGAGTTTGAAGGCCTGAGAACCAGGAAGCCAATGAAGTCAGGAAAAAGCCAGTGTCTCACATTGAAGGTAATCAGGCAGGAGAAATTCCTTCCTTCCTTCCTTCCTTCCTTCCTTTCCCTTTCTTTCTTTCTCTTTCTTTCTTTCTTTTTCTTTCTTTTCTTTTTTTCTCTCTTTCTTTCTTCCTTTCTTTCCTTCCTTTCTCTCTCTCTCTCTCTTTCTTTCCTTTCTGTTTCACTTTGTTGCCCAGGCTGGAGGATAGTTGCCTGATCTCACTGCAACCTCCCTGTCCCGGGTTCAAGCAATTCTCCTGCCTCAGACTCCTGAGTAGTTGGGGTTTACAGGCATGTGCCACCACCCTGGCTAATTTTATATTTTTAGTAGAGACAGGGTTTCATGATGTTGGCCAAGCTGGTCTCGAACTCCTGTTCTCAGGTGATCTGCCTACCTTGGCCTCCCGAAGTGCTGTGATTACAGGCGTGAGTCACCCGGCTGGGCCCCAAATTATTTTACTATATTATCACATTTGATCCTTATTACAGTCTTAAAGGATGAATAGGTCTATGTCACTATCCCCATTTTACAGGTGAGGAAACTGAGAAATGAGAAATGCAAACCAATATGCCAGTCACCAGGTATCAGATTAATTACTGAGCTAGAGGCCAAATGAGGTAGCTCAAGCCTGTACTCGTAGCACTTTGGGAGGCCGAGGCAGGCGGATTGCTTGAGCTCAAGAGTTTGAGACTAGCTTGGACCAGAAAAAAAAATTTTAGTAGAATGTGGTGGCATGCGCCTATAGTCCCAGGTACTTGGGAGGCTGAGGTGAGAGGCTCGCTTGAACCCAGGAGGTTGAAGCTGCAGTGAGCTGTGATTGCACCATTGCACTCCAGCCTGGGTGACAGAGCAAGACCTTGTTTCAAGGTGATGAAATAATTAGAATTATGCCAAACCTACCATTCGGAATGGTGTAGTTATTTTGTATCATTGTATAATTTTCTTCCGCTATTTCATTCCTTCAGCTTCTAAGGAAGAGTAAGTTCCAGTTGATTTCCAAAACCTCCAACCTCAATGGCTTTCTGGCAATTTCGAGCTTAAAGATTATGTCTTTTTTTTTTTTTTTTTTTTTAAAAGCTGGCCAGAGCAGCTCGCAAAAAGAGAAAAAAAGATTATGTCTTTTCTTCTTTTCTTTCTCTTCTGGTAACTAGAACACATGCAGAAGGTGCTTAGTATATTCATGAACAATAAATACATAAAGAAAATAAGTTTAGCCGGGCGCAGTTGCTCATGCCAGTAATCCCAGCACTTTGGGAGTCCGAGTTGGGAGGATCACCTGAGGTCGGGAGTTCGACACCAGCCTGACCAACATGGAGAAACCCTGTCTCAACTAAAAATACAAAATTAGCCAGGCGTGGTGGTGCATGCCTGTTATCCCAGCTACTCGGGAGGCTGAGGCAGGAGAATCGCTTGAACCCAGGAGGCGGAGGTTGCAGTGAGCTGAGACCATGCCATTGCACTCCAGCCTGGGCAACAAGAGCGAGACTCGGTCGCAAAAATAAAAATAAAAAATAAAAAATAAATAAAAATAGTTTAGAAGAGACCTGAGAAAGCCTGTGTAGTGGATTGGGAATACTCTTCTTTGTTAGAAGATGATCCCTCAGCACTAGGACATCAGCAGTGACAATCCTGAGTCACAGTTGGTGAGAAGCAGCAGGGAATAAGGGGGAAAGGAGGTAGAGGCAGGCACAGTGGCAGTCCAAGGAAATGAAGGCAAACTGTGGCCATGAAACCAGAGACAAGGGGAGCCGGGGAAGGGAATGATGTCATCAGAACAACAATAGAGGAAGATGATTTTGGCAGCAGCCTTTGAATAGACTTTGAAGAAAAAAATCAGAGAGAGGGGAAAAAGGAAACGGGAAAGGGAAGTCTGTTGAGAACTCAGCATGACATTTGGAGTGGGTGGAGAGCATCCTGTATAGCTTGATGTTGGGAACATCTGGTCACCTCTTACAATAACAGAATCTTAGAAACTTCAACTTTCTCAACTGGCCAGGTTAGAATGAGTGTGAATTCCACGGTCAAACTGTCATTGCCAGAAGACAGGAATATCTAAAGAGAGAAAAATTCAGATGGAAACTGACTCTTCTCTTAACACTGAGCACACCCCACTAGTTTTTCGATGTAAGTATTCGTATTTGTAAATGTATATATGCTTTATGTATTTTTGGAATACAATATTGGTTTTGTATTAAATTTAAAGCATAAAGTCTACTTTAATTCAATTATCTCAAAAGGCAAAAAGTAACCAACATATTTACAAAGAAAGCAATTGTTTTTAAAGCTTATGATTTTCTGTTTTTTTTTTTTTTTTTTTTTGAGATGGAGTTTCGCTCTTGTTACCCAGGCTGGAGTGCAATGGCGCAATCTTGGCTCACCGCAACCTCCGCCTCCTGGGTCCAAGCAATTCTCCTGCCTCAGCCTCCTGAGTAGCTGGGATTACAGGCACGTGCCACCATGCCCAGCTAATTTTTTTTTGTATCTTTAGTAGAGACGGGGTTTCACCATGTTGACCAGGATGGTCTCGATCTTTTGACCTTGTGATCTACCCGCCTCAGCCTCCCAAAGTGCTGGGATTACAGGCTTGAGCCACCTCGCCCGGCTTTAAAGCTTATGATTTTCATTGCCCAATTTTCTTTTCTTTCTTTCTTTTTTTTTTTTTTTTTGAGATGGAGTTTGCTCTTCTTGCTCAGGCTGGAGTGCAATGACCCTTTCTCAGCTCACCACAACCTCCGCCTCCCTTGTTCAAGCCATCCTCCTGTCTCAGCCTCCCGAGTAGCTGGGATTACAGGCATTCGCCACCACACCCAGCTAATTTTTGCATTTTTAGTGGAGACAGAGTTTTGACATGTTGGCTGAGCTGGTCTTGAACTCCTGACCTCAGGTGATTTGCTTGCCTTGGCCTGCCAGACTGCTGGGATTACAGACGTGAGCCACTGTGTCCAGGTTGTTGTTTTTTTTTAAAGACAGGATCATCTGGTTCTGTCACCCAGGCTGAAGTGCAGTGCCACAATCACAGCTCACTGCAGCCTGGAACTCCGAAGGCTCAAATGATCCTCCCACCTCAGCCTCCAGAGTACTTGGGACTATAGGCGCCCGCCACCATGCCTGGCTAATTTTTGTGTTTTTAGTAGAAAGAGGGTTTTGCCATGTTGGCCAGGCTGGTCTCGAACTCCTGGGCTCAAGTGATCCTCCTGCCTCACCTTCCAAAGTGCTGGGATTATATTACAGGCTTGAACCACCACATCCGGCTTTTTTTTTTTTCTTTTTTGAGATGGAGTCTCACTCTGTTGCCAGGCTGGAGTGCAGTGGCGCGATCTTGGCTCACTGCAGCCTCCGCCTCCCGGGTTCAAGCGATTCTCTTGCTTCAACCTCCCGAGTAGGGGACTACAGGCATGCGCCACCACACCCAGCTAATTTTAGTATTTTTAGTAGAGACGGGGTATCACCATGTTGGCCCGATGGTCTCCATCTCTTGACCTCGTGATCCGCCCGCTTCAGCCTCCTAAAGTGCTGGGATTACAGGAGTGAGCCACCGCGCCCGGCCTACTACCCATTTTTCTGTTGCGTTGTGTAATTTTAGACTCCATACCTTGCTTCATTTCCAATATTGACCGAAAATGTCCACAACTCAATTGTGCCATCTAGTGTTTCTTAGCATTTAGTGACGGCTACTTTGGAGTTTTAAAAAGTGGTCCCACAGAACCGGACTCTTCTAAGGAGCAGGAAGCTAATAATGATTACCACATTGTCACCTTTAGGCTACTCACTGTAGCAATCAATATAGGCATAGCTATGTGATGGTAACAGACAAGCCTTCAAATCTCAGTGGCTTAAAAATATGAAGCTTATTTCTCACAGAAGGTCCAATGAGGGTTGGCTGGGCTTGTCTGCAAGCGGTGTATATATATATAATTTTTTCTGAGATAATGTCTCATTCTGTCACCAGGCCGGAGTTCAATGGCATGATCTTGGCTCACTGCAACCTCCACCTCCCTAGCTCAAGCGATTCTTCTGCCTCAATCTCCCGAGTAGCTGGGATTACAGGCATGTGCCACTACACCGGGCTAATTTTTGTGTTTTTAGTAGAGACCAGGTTTCATCATGTTGGTCAGGCTGGTCTCGAACTCCTGACCTCATGATCCGCCTGCCTCAGCCTCCCAAAGTGCTGGGATTATAGGCGTGAGCTACCACACCTGGCCGGCTCCGCTTCGAAATGAAATCATCTTCCCTATATCTAGTGGTGGTCTGGAGATAATACGCTCTAGTATTTAGCCTTCAGTACAAGCATGTTACATCGTTAACCTTTTCCTTTTCAATCCTGATATACTAAGAGGCTGGTTTTTAAAAAGTTATTTTAAATATTAAGGACTAAACTCTGATTTTTAAATCTTGCCCAAATTCCTATCTAAGGGGTCTGGAGGGTCATGCCTTAAAAATCATAAAAATTCTCATCAGATAGGTTTTATTTAACCCTATATATCATAATTTTCTCTTTCTTTGCAGTGAGCATGGCTCACTGAAACCTCTGCCTCCTGGTTTCCACCGATTCTTGTGCCTCAGCCTCCTGAGTAGCTGGGATTACAGGTGCGTATCACCACACCTGGCTAATTTTTGTATTTTTAGTGGAGATGGGGTTTCACTATGTTAGTCAGGCTGGTCTTGAACTGATCTCAGGTGATCCACCTGCCTTGACCTCCCAAAGTGCTGGGATTACAGGTGTGAGCCACCACACCCAGCCAGATTTACTTTACAACTTGACTCTGGCGTTAACATTATGAGACAAAAAAGAAAAGCAAAATATTTTACCCCAAAACAAGTTTCTTTGCCATATTTTGAAATGGCCCTGCAAAATATGGCAGGTTCTTCATGGGGGAAAATTTGCATCTGTAAAGAATCTCTATGAACTTCGCTGGATCTTTTTCTTTCAGACCTTCCCAGTCCTAAAGAGATCACCTAAAATCTGAACAGGAAACATCAGTCATCTTATTGTCTCTAAGGGCAGCCATTATAAGACTCAAAAGGATTTTGGTCTCCACAATCTTTATCTTAATCTGAACATTCCTCTTCTATCAATCCCAGGTCTTTAGACAAAGCCAACCAACTGTCAACCAGAAAATATTTAAATTCACCTATAGCCTGGAAGCTCCGGCTTTGAGTTGATCCGCCTTTCCGGACCAAACCAATGTATTTCTTGAATATATTTGATTGATGTCTTGTGCTTCTCTAAAATGCATAAAACCAAGCTGCGTCCCAACCACCTTGGGTACATGTTCTTAGGACTTCCTGAGGGTTGTGTCATGGGCCATGGTCACTCATATTTGGCTCAGAATAAATCTCTTCAAATATTTTACAGAGTTTGACTCTTTTTGTTGACAATATGGAGGTGCTGTAGGATGTTAGGCACATTATTACCAGCTTCACTATATTTTTATTTATTTTATTTTTTTATTTTTATTTATTTATTTATTTTTTTTTTGAGACGGAGTTTCGCTCTTGTTACCCAGGCTGGAGTGCAATGGCGCGATCTCGGCTCACCGCAACCTCCGCCTCCTGGGTTCAGGCAATTCTCCTGCCTCAGCCTCCTGAGTAGCTGGGATTACAGGCACACGCCACCATGCCCAGCTAATTTTTTTGTATTTTTAGTAGAGACGGGGTTTCACCATGTTGACTGGGATGGTCTCGATCTCTTGACCTCGTGATCCACCCGCCTCGGCCTCCCAAAGTGCTGGGATTACAGGCTTGAGCCACCGCGCCCGGCAGCTTCACTATATTTTTAAAAGTTTTTATTTTAATTCTGTTGCTAGTATTATGATTAACTTCCATATAATAATACAGTAGTCACTCCTTATCTGTGAAGAATACATTCTGAGATCCCCAGTGGATGCCCGAAATCGCTAATAGTACCAAACCCTATAGACAGTGTTTTCTCTTTTATATACACATATACACACACATCCCTATGATAAAGGTTAATTTATAAATGAGGCACAGATCAACAACAATAACTAATGATAAATAGAACAATTATAACAATATGCCAGCATCCCTACCCTTGTGCTCTGAGGCCATCATTAAGTCAAATAAAACTTACGTGAGCACACATACTTCAATACCATGACGGTTGATCTGATTCTGATAACTGGGCCAGCTACTAAGTGACTCATGGGCAGGTGGTGTAGATGGCATGGAGGCGCTGGACACAGGGATGATTCACAACCAGCCCCAAGCAGGATGAAACAGGACAGCAAGGATTCCATCACAGTTATCAGAACAGCACAGGAAACTTACGAATTGTTCATTTCTGGAATCAATCTTTCTTTCTTTCTTTTCTTTTCTTTCTTTCTTTCTTTCTTTCTTTTTCTTTCTCTCTTTCTCTCTCTCTCTTTCTTTCTTTTTCTTTCTTTCTTTCTTTCTTTCTTTCTCTCTTTCTCTCTTTCTCTTTCTCTCTTTCTCTCTTTCTTTCTTTCTTTCTTCTTCTTTCTTCCTTTCTTTCTTTCTTTTTTGAGATGGAGTCTCACTCTGTTGCCCAGGCTGGAGTGCAATGGTGGGATCTTGTCTCACTGCAACCTCTGCCTCCTGGGTTTAAGCAATTCTTCTGCCTCAGCCTCCTGAGTAGCCAGGATTACAGGCACCTGCTACCATGCCTGGCTAATTTTTGTATTTTTTTGTAGAGATGGGGTTTCACTATGTTGGCCAGGGTGGTCTTGAACTCTTGACCTCAGGGGATCTGGCTGCCTCAAACTTCCAAAGTACTGGGATTATAGGTGTGAGCCACCGTGCCCAGCTGAATTTTTCATTTAATATTTTTGGACTGCAGTTGACTCTGGGTAACGGAAACCGTGGGTAACTGAAACTGGGGAAATAACTGAAACTGGCGATAAGGCAGAAGCACTGCAATGGCTACTAGGCACTGTTCTAAGTACTAGACACAGACAATATGTGATGATGCTAGTCTTTGACATAGAAAACAGCTAGGCTCTGGGGCTCACGCCTGTAATCCTAGCACTTTGGGAGGCCGAGGTGGGTGGATCACCTGAGGTCAGGAGTTCAAGACCAGCCTGGCCATCATGGAGAAACCCCATCTTTAAAAAAAAGAAAAGAAAAAGAAATAGAAAACAGGAGCAAAAGCAGGATACAAAGGGGGAAATGATTACTTGAGTGTTCGGCATGTTGGGTTTGAGGTATCCGAGGGAAAGTGAGTGGAAGTGTGAATGGGGCATAACTCAGGAACACTGCCAGGGCTGGAGGTAGATTTGGGAATCAATAACATGTAGGAAAGAGCTGAAGCTGTGGGACAAATGAGATTCCTGAGAGGGAAGGAATGCAGAATGTCCAGTTAGTCCAGCCCCAGCCCTGAGCTGAGCCAAAGGGATGACCAGGAATTAACCAGGAAAGAAGGTGGAAGAGGTCATTTCCGACAGAGGAAGTAGTGATGGTAAAGAAGGCTGCAGGTCCCTGAGGTCAACTGAAAAAGCACATGATTTATAAATTTAGAAAGGAGGGCTGGGCGTGGTGGCTAACACCTTTAATCCCAGCACTTTAGGAGGCTGAGGTGGGAGGATGGCTTGAGCCTAGGAGTTTGAGATCAGCCTGAGCAACATAGAAAGACTCCCATTTCTACAAAAGTAAAATAAAATAAAAATAGCTGGGTGGTGTGTGCCTGCAGTCTCAGCTACTCAGGAGGCTGAGGTGGGAGGACTGCTTGAACCCAAGATTTCAATGCTGCAGTTAATTATGCTTGCACTACCTTCCAGCCTAAGTGACAGAGCAAGATCCTATCTCAAAATAATAAATAAATAAATAACAATTAGAAGGAGACTTTGTTTTTTATAAAGGATTACAGCCTGCAAGATGGCCATTCTGACAGGCTGGGACACGTAGCCTCCAGGAGAGGCTGAAAGGCAGGGCTCTTCAAGGGAGACAGGAATTATGCTGAGGGCACTGGCCAAACATACATATTCAACAGGTTACAGGAGGAGCTATGAATGTTCTTGAACAGGATCCTGAAGCATGTGTGATAAGCAAATGTGCATGTTACATGTGACCCATATTCACTTTGGAGTGGAGATTTAACATTTAAATGCATTACAGTTAGGCCCTATATGTCAAAAGGTGAAGCAGGGGCCAGGCGCAGTGACTCAGGCCTGTGATCCCAGCACTTTGGGAGGCTGAGGAGAGCAGATTGCCTGAGGTGAGGAGTTTGAGACCAGTCTGGCCAACATGGTGAAACCATGTTTCTACTAAAAATATGAAAAAAGAAGAAAATTAGCCCAGCAGAGTGGCATGTGCTTATAATCCCAGCTACTTGGAAAGCTGAGTCAGGGGAATTGGTTGAACCAGGAAGGTGGAGGTTGCAGTGAGCCAAGATCATGCCACTGCACTCCAGCTTGGGCGACAGGGCAAAACTCCGTCTCCAAAAAAAAAAAAAAAAAGGTGAAGCAGGGACATGAAGAACTGTGCTCAAGTGCAGAGCTTCTGTAAACTGGCCAGAACCAGACCACAGTTGGTGGCCTCCTATCAGGAGAAAGTTACAGAACTCAGTCTCTGATCCAGTCAAAGCTGTAGTGGTGGCTGGTGGAACGGGGAGTCAGTCAAAGTGTCTGATGGTGGCTGAGCTGTGACGGCTTCAACATTGCTTATCTCAAGGCTAGTGCTTGTTTAGCTGCTGGAGAAAAAGAAAATCCTGGTGGCAGTCAGAATATAGTTTATTCTTTAACTCTAGGGAGTGCATGGGCTTTAACCTTTGCCTGGCATGGGCTTAGGTCTGTTTATAATTTGGCATCTTATTGACACAAAAAGTCCACTGTGTCAGGATTATGAGCTCCATTTTAACATCAATGCTGGTCAGTTTTCCTGCCTAAATTGCAAAAGGGAAGGGATATAACGAGGTTTGTCTGCCTCCCATTCTGTCATGGCTGGGAACTCAGTTTTTAAGATTTCTCGCCAGGCACAGTGGCTCAGGCCTGTAATCCCAGCACTTTGGGAGGCCGAAGTGGGTGGATCAACTGAGGTCAGGAGTTCAAGATGAGCTTGGCCAACAGTTGGAACCCTGTCTCTACTAAAAATACAAAATTAGCCTGGTGTGGTGGCACATGCCTGTAATCCCAGCTACTATGGAGGCTTAGGCAGGAGAATTGCTTGAACCTGGGAGGCGGAGTTTGCAGTGAGCCAAGATTGCGCCATTGCACTCCAGCCTGGGCAACAAGAGCAAAATTTTGTCTTCAGGCTGGGCTCAGTGGTTCTCACCTGTAATCCCAGCGCTTTGGGAGGCCATGGTAGGCGGATCACGTGAGGTCAGGAGTTTGAGACCAACCTGACCAACATGGAAAAACCCCGTCTCTACTAAAAACACAAAATTAGCCGGGTGTGGTAGTGCATGCCTGTAATCCCAGCTACTCGGGAGGCTGAGGCAAGAGAATCACTTGAATCCGGGAGGTGGAGGTTGCAGTGAGCCAAGATCTTGCCATTGCACTTCAGCCTGGGTAACAAGAGTGAAACTCTGTCTCAAAAAAAAAAAAAAAAAAAAAAA